AAAAAGAAAAACACTTAATCACTTTACTGTAAGGACAATAGTTGATTAAACAAGCATTTGTGTAAAACATAAAAAGAGACGTTTCAACCATTTTCCCATGGTGTGTTTTTTTTCATTTTTTATGAAAATAAATGCAAAGACTAAGTCAATAAACAACTTTGATTTATAAAATGATAATAACTTTTAGTTAAAAAGAGAATATATATCAAAAACATGAAGAACATTATTATTCTGATTATTGAAGGAAATAAAATAAATATTTTAATAAATGATTTTTTTTCTTTTAAAAACCAAAGTCAAAGACAAGTGTAAATGTTTATTTCACCTTTGGGGAACCCCTACACAAACATGCACACACAGCCTGATTGTTCAAAACCTTAGTTTAAAAGGTACAAAGCCATAGTTTCAATTCATTGGATTCAAACACGATCCATATCACCCAGAACTYTACTGTGGAGGATTGGCTTGGCTCTTATTCCTGATCCATCATCTAGGAATCATCAAACCACAACAAAACAAAAGCTTGTCATTGATTTTGGATGACCTACAGATGAGCTGTTGACCAACTGAGTACCAGCCTCATCTTGGCTTGGCGCCTTTTGCGCCACAAGTTACAGATGGAGAATAAATCAATCTGTAGGCTTTCCTTCTTCATCTCTCTCCTCTCACCAAAAGATAATTTTAGTTTAAAACTCTGGCATGGGGGGGTGTATTCCTTCTAGTAGACTTTTAATTTTGGCTGCATTCATTCCACTGACCTTATTGCTTGAGCTAGCTGTGCTCCAATACTTGACACTGATTCACGTATTTTTGTGTACATTTATATGTATAGGAACGTACCTGAATGAATGGGAATAAAAGGCCAACAGCAAAGTTCGACAGCCAGTTCACAACACCAGCAATCATGAAAGCAGCAGGTCGGTAAGACTGTTCAAACAGTTCCCCAGTCAGGATAAATGGGATGCCACCTGATGAAGAGAAAAAGATAAATGAACCTTAAGATGGAGAAATAAGATGCTGACAGGAGCTAACAGAAACAAATAGGTTCAGTCTGAGAAGTAAACAAACCCTGTAAAGGTGTTTTAATTGTTTGCTCTTAATCTGCTCTGAAGTACAAACAAAATGCAAAGATCAAACAATACATTCACATTCTTTTGTCTTTTACTGTCATGCTCTATTGCAGAATTAATTTTTTGCTTTTAGTGTAAAATAAAAAAATGCATAAAAACTGCATTGGTGTCTGATTTGAACGACCAACAAGTCTCTAAAACCATCAAAACTTTATGTGGTAGAAATTTAGATTCTGTGTGAGTTCTGTGATAAAAAAAATACATATTTTTTAAAATTTCACAAGATGGATTTCAAAGAATCCCAGAATAGCTGAATTATTCATTAAAAAGGGCTGACTGTATGTGACAATAGGCTGTGCAGACTGAAAGCTATACCTACACCAGTATGTTGGAAAAAAAAGTGTTATGCAGAAGAGTACAATGAAAAGTGTTTCAGTATTTTCTGAAATGGTGACCATTTCAACAAACAAGCCATCCTCATGGAGTCAGAGATTTCTGTCAGCATGAAGTTAATCTTCATTACAAGCTTTTAGGATCAGTTGTGTTCCTTTTAGAAAATGAGAAAAGCTTAGAAAACTTCACCGAAAAGAGACTTGTTTTGAATTGTGTATTAAATTCCACAAAATCTCCTAAATGAGAACTTAGCTTTGTCATGTTTCAAATAAAAATTCATTTTGTCAAAGACTAAATTTTCCCAAACTGTTCATTTTTTTTATTTATTTGTTTGTATCTAATTGTTTTGTGTTTTTTTTTCATGGTGCTTTGACCACTGAGGCAGACCTGATGCCCTCTCCAGTTGTAATTTGTGCACTCGTGTTTTATTTTTTCAGAGACAGAGTCTTGCTGAAGCAACTTAAAAATATGAAACATTTCAACAAAAAGCCCACATTTGTTGTGACAAAACATAAGAAATAGTGCTTACAATGAACAGTGTTTACAAGGTCACTTCTGGGTTTTGGGTGGGCGGGGGAGCTTGGGGTGAGGACTTTGAATCCTTTGAAGCTCGAGGAGCAGAAGCTAAAAACAAGGTTCGACAGCTTTTTTAGTTTTATGGATAATAAAATATGGATTTTTTAATTGCTCCATAATGACGTACGATTTGTCTGAGGATTGTTCAGTTCAGTTCTGTTCTCTATTTGGGGAGAAAATAATGTTGTATGATGAATGAAATGTGTTTGCTAATAAATAATATAAATGTGGACCTGAAATAGCTGCTAACCAGCACCTAACTGCACAAGTCCAGAAGTAAAAACACTGAGTTTTCATATCTGGATTATTGAGTTATAAATTTTTATATCGTTTTTGGATCACTTCAGTTAGCTCAGTTATTTGTTTGAAAGTACTTTCAGGTAGAATCTCAGTTTCATTTGATAATGGATAACTCATTCTGCCGTGTCTTCTTTGGATCCTTTTGCTCCCACAATTCCATTATTCCACCAAATGCTTTTGTGACTCAATTTTTACCACAAAAAGAGAGAACAAAACAGCAATATTATCTTTTTGCCATAATGAAGGTCCAAAACACAGCCATCTGTGTGTGAGTGTGTGTTTTTGTGTGTGTATGGGTGAAAGTATGAATGTGTAAAAGCACTCTGAGTGGTCAGCAGGACCAGAAAAGCATTATATAAATGCTGCTCAGGGTCACATGGAGCTGCTGTTTAATTCCAGTCAGCCTGGAAAATCCATCCTAGTACTTTGGTCACCATGCTGAGGAAGATTTGAAACAACTTAGATGATTGGACTAACTTTTATCATTCTTCACATTAAGAGTTTGTGGCTTTTTAATGTGCAACAAAACACAATTAAGTGTTTACACCTGTTTGAATCTGTACATTGTAAAAAATAAATTGTAATATTAACGAGAGAAAATCTTGTGAACAATTTACACTAACGTTTGGTAAGTAAATTTAAATGCCACAAATTCATGTAATATTTACTCATCATTATCTAGTAAAAGTTATTAAGAATATAGTTAAAGATTTGTGAATAAATCAGGTAAAATTTACTTAATTTGCTCAAATACTTGATGAGAGAGAGAGGTGTAGCTCATGTTGTAGTTCAAGACTTGACCACCAGGTAACAGTTTTGAAGAACCTTTATTGGATTATTTTTCATGAACAAAACAGATAAAGTG